CTGTATTTCACTCGAAAGTTTTACTATTGAAAAGTGTAGATTGTTATTAGTTTAAATATCAGGGTGATTTTTATACAGTACGTTCACTTACGGGGCCTAAAGTTCAGTTAGATGAAGTTAAATTAGCAGAATGTCTGAATCAGAACAGGAAAGAAAGTTTCTCATTTGGAACAAAGAAGTCAGAATAGTTTTTATTTTATTTTCCAGCTTCTCCCCTAAAGAAGGGAGAGAAGAGCGACATTTGGACCTGGGAAATCTATAAGTTCCAGCTGCCTGTGACCTGTGGAGACCAGCAAGGGACACTGAACAGAGGCAGATTGGCTAAAGGTAAGTAAATCTTAATGACTGAAAACACTGAATCTTAGAATCTTAAATGTAGAATTCTTCATATAAAAATGACCAACTCTGACAGTGACATATTTTGGCCATCACAGCAGATGATTTATGGTTGACATTTACACATTCCCAATTCTCTGATTGTTTCAGGGGAGAAGTGCATTGTGGTCGACAAACAGTGGTTTACTCCCAATGAATTTGAGAGATTTGCAGGGAAGGGGAGCTTCAAGAACTGGAAACTGAGCATTCGCTGTATGGACACCCCCTTGGCAAAACTTATACAGGTTGTGTATTCTGTCATATACACGTTACAAGACTGCTTGTTTTTCTTCAACATTTACCATTTTAGTTTGCCTCGTTAGACCACTTCACACACAGTTCCGACAGATAAATACTTGACAGCAGCAGTACATGAGCGAACCGCACGCAACAAATAATAGTGCAAATAACTAATATTATAAACCAAGTGCTAACATAAAGGTTAGAAAGTATGTCCTTAAAACATGTGCATGCATACAGTGTACGAATGTAATTGGTAAGCAGCCTCTCAGTCCACTAATGTCCACATTGCAACGCAGACGGGAGGAGTTAGATGGCCAACGGCAGGAATTACAAAGTGATTGTTGTGAAAATTAATTTTATTTTCTGCTTTTTCAATTTCACTGCAGGACGGTCACCTCAAATCAGTGAAGTACAAAGGAGGGTGTAAAAGGGTAAGACCAAAAACTGGTGAAAATACATAAATAAATAAATTCTGACTTTATAGTGTATTGTCTTGTTTTTAGTGATTCTAATCTGAACCATGTCCCCCTATTTTCCTCCTGCTAGACCAAGAAATCACTGTTCCCATCTGATGTTTCAATCATAGGTTTGTCACTAAATCACTGATTTTAGAAAAGTTTATGAGTATTAGTTTTACTATCTATCTATCTATCTATCTATCTATCTATCTATCTACTTATCTAAGGTCTATCTACTCTACTCTATCTATCGTTTTAAATCTATATATTTGAGAAAAAGCAGCTTCTTAATTGCTAATATAGAAAGAATTATTGATATATATACTACTCGCCTCCTTCTTTTTCCAGTGTCTGAGGGAGAAGAAGATGAAAATGAGGAGTGTGCCTCAGACAGTGAAGACCAGGTTTCATCAAGCAGCAAAGAAGGTTCCAAATATGTCACAGGTGCTGGTTTCTACAAAGTGATATTCAGGGTTGACATACATTTTTGGCAACAATAGTAAATCACTTTACATGCATGTCCCAGTATCATGGCAATAGTAGTTTACATGTGTCCTTTACAGATGAAGAAGGAGAGGAGGAAGAGACAGAGCAGCAGACAGAGGCCAGCTGTGACAGTAGCAAGAAGGTGTTCAAAGTTACATGTAGAGCTTTAAGCGGGACCCTTCACAAAAAACGATTTGCATCAGGTAACTCTATTTTTCTACACACAAAAAGGGTAAATATGTGTATCCGTACATCCTGTTTAATGTCCGACCTGTTACTCTGGTGAACAGTCAGATGAAGCTAAACCAACCCCACAAAACGTGTCTCCTCTGAACTTACTTTCACCATCAGGGACTTGTGGGAAGAGTATTCGTACTGAGACCAACTGGTTGACCCCAGTGGAGTTCATGAAGGAGGCGTCCTGTCCGACAGATGCCTCCTGGAGGAAAGACATCCAGTGGGAAGGGAAACCACTCAGTATCCTCACAGGGGTAACCATGGTCAGGCTGGTGTTATTACGTGTGTGTGTGTGTGTTGTCATTACAGTCCTCTGATGCCATCTTGAATTATTAACTGTGCATCTTTGCGTGTAAGATTTCAGCTCTGGTGGATTTGTCAACACCCGTGGTTACCGCAGTAACAGCAAGGATTTACCACTACAGCAGACATTTGTTGAGCAGCTGCTTTGTCAGAAATATAACAAAAGAGCAACAGACTGGTGGATCTGTTTATAGTGCAGCCAGTTCTCCACAGAGCAGCAGGACACAGTCAAGTAGGTTAGCTTGCTGAGTAGATGGACATGTGCAGCCTGCTGTCTGAAACTCATCTGTGAATGCCAAAAGTGACAGTTGTCTTGTAGACACATTTCTGATGAGTGATCACAGTCGGTGCTGTCTGCGGGAGCAGCTTAATACAGCTCTGGTAGAGTGTAAAGAGAGCGAACAGTAAGCAGTGAGGCTGTTGTCCATGAGATAGAATTGCACTGAATTGCAGGTTTACAGAATCTGACATGCCACTAACAAAAGAAAAAGATGACTATAGAGAGATAATTACAGAATGTAAATAAGAAGCAGAGCATAAATAGGATTACGAATGAAATATTTAATGATTATAACTTTAATCTGACCTTTGTCATTCAGTAATCCTAGAACTCATAGGACAATTTGCACTAAACCTGCACTTTGCTCTAAATTGTTAATGCTGTTATTTTGTCTATTACAGGCCAAAATCTTAAGGATCCACTCACTGCTGTGTTCCTGCGGACTGTGCAAACCAGACAGTATAGAGCAGGTAAGTTTGTTGATCAGCAGCATTTCCTAATTCAACATTCATCTTTGCACTGCGTAAAACAATGGCAGCACAACACCTGTGTGTCTCCCACTGAGCTGCAGTACAAGTCTGAACTTGTCTGTCATGGCAGGACAATCAGAAAAACGACGATGAGTGTTGCATCTGTAAAAGGGAAGAAGAAGAAGAAGAAGGAGAGTTGGTGGTGTGTGATCACTGCCCTCGCTCCTTCCACCAGAAATGTCACCTTCCTCATATAGAAGATGCCATTTTAGGGTGAGTTTTTATCAAAACAGGAGAAAGCCAAGACCAAGACTCAAAAAAATTGTTGATTATGTGATATCAGTTGTGTGTTTGTCATGTGTTCTACGCTTCTAAGAGACTGATATCACTCTTTAACACTTGAAATCCCCCTCCACTCAAGGATATGTTTTTCTTCTTGTTCCTACATGGGACGTCAGGATATATATAATTTATTGTGTGTGTGTGTGTGTGTGTGTGTGTGAACAGGGACGATAGTCTATGGATGTGTACGTTCTGCGTATTCAAAAGCAATCAAGGGTGCTATTACTTCAACGAGCTGACAATGGAAGCAGCCACGTCCCTCCAAATATCACAACGCATGCTGGTGAGCACACTCTGTGTTTGTCTGTCTCTCTGTCTTTAGGTCTTCACATCGTAATGCCTGTCTTTCTGTCACACTGCCATCACCATTCGTCTCTTCTTTCTTACATCAACAGCAATGTCAGTATCTCCTCCTGCATTTGTGCAACATTGATGAGGAACAGACATTCACTACAAACCCAAACCTCTATGTAAGTCTTTCTCTTTGCTGTTCCCAGGCATATTAAAGTGCACTGAATGAGCTGGCAGCTGGAGGGATCACATTATCTTCAGGTCTTTATTTACAGTAGTGTGAAATTAAATTGTTGCTTGTTGAGTATTTCATTCATTCCTGCTTTGCACCCGCAGTTAGCAGACTACTCCACGGTGATCAAGACTCCGATGTGGCTGGGCAAAGTAGCAGACAAACTCCAGAAGAAGCTCTACCAGACAGTCGGACAGTTTGTGTCCGACATCCAGCTCATTTTCACCAACTGTGCTTCATACAACCGAGTAAGAAACATCATCATTTTCACATGTAGTACTAAAAGATTAAAAGTTAAATATCAGAGATGAAGATGATTTTTTTAGGAAAGTCACAAGGACTGTTGTGTTCTTTTGCAGGACAATGCTGAATTCTTTGCGATGGGGAACAGACTGAAGGAGTCATTTGATGAAGAATTTAAAAAAGTATTCAACATCCGCGAGTAGACTGCTCACTGACACAAACTGTTTCATTTTCAAACTCAGTGGCCCCTGGGAAAAGGTTAAACATTGGGAATTACAGCTTTGTGGTAAATCTTTTTTTTCTCTCTCTAACTGGTTAAAATATCCCAAAAGACATAATTGGTCATGAAGAGAGTGCAGTTGAATTAAGTGAAACAAATATCCAGTTTAACTAAGTAAATCTTAATTCATAGAGGATGTGTAGGAGAAACTCTTCCACAATACTGAGAGTTGCTAGTTCTCTGAAGAGATACGAACCCAGTGTGAGGAACCAAGTCCCTTTACTCAAGCAGCATACAGCAACAAAAACACATCCGGTATCCTATTAACATAATGCTGTAAATCACATGTGAAGGTTTTAGGTCTTCAACACAAATGGTGCTTTGATCTGACCCTGTCACTGTGACCAGATTCTTACCAGACATCCTCCATCCAACGTATCACCATTTGTCAACCATAAATTCACAAACCCCGATAAACAAACTATACATTTACAACCCCGTCTAAAACATTCATCTATCACAGATGCACTCAAATGCAGAATAAAATGTGAAATTAATAATTTTTTTATTTTTTATAATTTAAAGGGTAATTTATCCAATTGTATACAGTTGTCTGTTAAACACTGTAGGTCATGGGGCATATGTTCCTATTATATATGTCTGTATTATGAATGTACCGTATGTATTGTAACATAATGTATTTGTTTAAAGTGTTTGAATGAGCATTTCCATGTCACTACACAGTATTTAAAACGCAATTTCCCTGTGCTCTCTCTTTCTGTCGGATCTGTTGTTTTTGGATGTCTTTGTTAAAATAAAATACGTGTCTGTGCACATGTTAAATGACATAACCTCGGCTTATTTTGACAAACCTTGCCCTTAAAGGTTAAATCTATATTACAGATTTATTTTAACACAGCAGGAAAACAAACTGAATCCATAGAACTGACGGATTGGACCCTCTGTTGGGGGATCACCGTGTTTTTATGCATGTGCTGTATTTGCGGTCAGCTGACGTCACTGCCACAGTCGCCAGCAGCAAATCTGTGCTGAGAGCTGCGCAGCCGCCCTGCGCATCCGTCGGCTGAGGTGGACAGCGCAGCCATTTCTCTGCCCCTCATGAAAAACATGCAGAGGGGGGAGGCGGGAGTGCGCAACTGACCCGGCGTGCGGGAGGGAGTCATGACTTCGGCGGCCGCGTACCGAGCCTGAACTCCGCATCACCGACTGAGATCCTCGAAGCTCCAAACTTTCTCCCAATTCAACGCCTGCGCATACAAAACAGGCTCCCCCCCTTCCCCTCTTCACTCTCTCTCCCTATCTCACCCTCTCCTCCATTTGGCTTATGCGCCTGTTTCTGTGCCAGCCATGGAGGGGAATCTGCACGGAGGCAGCGGCGACGTCGCTACAATGCACGTGAAGACCGAGGCGGTCGACGAGAGCACATCTGCGCTGCTGTTGGGCAGCCACGAGTCGCCTGCGCCCTGCGGAGATACCGCATGCAGGGGGGGAGGAGGAGGAGGAGGGGGGGATCAGACTGCAGAGGAGCTGGCTGACGCTGAGCTGCAGGCAGCCACCACGACTACTCCCGTGCTGCTGTGTGAGTGCATTTCACGTGACTTTTTTCTTTTTCTTTTTCTTTATATATATCTATCTAAGTTTTACACTTGGAGTTTA